TCTGGACCCTCTCCATGTTGTCCACATCCCTCTTGAAGTGCGGCACCCAGAACTGGACGCAGTACTTCAGCTGTGGCCTGACCAGTGCTGCATAGAGGGGGAGGATCACCTCCCTGGACCTGCTTGAGATGCATCTGTGGATGCATGACAAGGTACGGTTGGCTTTCCTGACCACGTCCCCACACTGCCAGCCCATGTTCATTTTGGCATCAATAATCCAAGATCCTTTTCTGCCTCTGCACTGACAAGAAGGGAGTTCCCCAGCCTGTAGGTATGGTGCTGGTTCTTCCTCCCCAGGTGCAGCACCTTGCACTTGTCAGTGTTGAAACCCATCCTGTTCTCATCCGCCCACCCCTGTAACCTGTCTAGGTCCAATTGTAGCCTATTCGTTCCTTCTAACGTGCCCGCATCCCCCCACATCTTAGTGTCATCAGCAAATTTGAACAGGGTGCTTTTTACCCCCTCGTCCAAGTCACCGATGAAGATGTTGAACAGTGCAGGCCCGGGGACCGAGCCCTGGGGGACCCCACTGCCCATATCCCTCCAGGCTGAATAAGACCCATCCACCACCACTCTGGGTGCAGCCGTCCGGCCAGTTAGTGACCCAATTGCCTGTGTAGGTGTTGACACCACAGTCCCCTAGTTTTTTAACGAGAACGGGGTGAGAGATAGTGTCAAAGGCCTTCCTGAAGTCCAGAAAGACTACGTCCATTGCTACCCCTGCATCTAAGGATTTTGTGACCTGGTCATAGAAGGTTGCCAGGTTGGTCTGACAGGACCTACCTCTAATGAACCTGTGTTGGTTGCCCCTAAGCATAATCTCCCCTGCTGGCCCGTCATGGACATGAGCCAGGATAATTCTCCTAAAAAGCTTACCCAGGATCAAGGTCCTCCTTCCTCCTTTTTTTGAAAATGGGAACCATATTGGCCCTTTTCCAGTGCTCTAGCACCACAGCCACAAGGCACAAGGCGCCACAGCCGAAAGGCTATTCACACATTTTTCACATTATGCCACAGAAATAATGGAAAGAGGTGATCTTTAGGGAGTTAGCATAACTGGGAATTGTTTCCTGGTCAGAGATGCCACAGTGTGGGGAGTGGAGGCTTTTCTTCTGACCTCCCTCTCTAGCTAACCGCTGTCACCTGTTATTCCAGCAGTGGGATGGATGTCTCGGTCTCAAGAAACAGCAGCTCCAATCCCAGCTCTGCCCCGACTCTGTAAAATGGCCTGCCCGGAGCCACAATCTACCTTGGTTTTCTGCCCTACTATAAAATAAGGGTAACACTTACCTCACAGAGGTGGTGAGCAGTGGTGCCCTGACATTTGAGCAAACCTCTTTAGTTTATTTTCAAAAGCCTCCTCTATGTCTTGTTGCTATATCTGAAAAGCAAGTGAGATATTCAAGCGGGAAGTTGTTACAGAACAGTAGGCACATGGATGTACACACGATACACATACCGCGCCCCCCCCGCAAAAGAGTAGAGATTCTCTTGGGGTGTGGCAGAACCTTCCATCCTGCTGCAGCCAGCCACTTTTAGTACAAGTCCATCTGTTCAAAGAAAAATAATTTGAAAGGGGCGTGTAAAGGCACTTAACACTCATACCCATTCTTCCCACATTCCTCATAAAACCACTCAAACTTTTACAGGTCCCACGTTTTACTACAGCAGCCTCTGTCTTTCCAGATTCTTCAAGAGCGTGGATCCCGGATGTAACCTGAGTGGCTGGTTCAGTTAAACTCCTAGATGTCAAAAGGGCAGTCGAGCCGGGCAGAGCATTTCTCCGCAGTTCAACCTTGCTCTTGTACAGTAACCAAGCTAACGCAAAACAAAGCTGAGCCTGTCCTGCCAACGGAGAAGAATTCTGGTCATAACCAAAGGTTTTCCCCTTAACTCCAGGAAAGAAGGAGACACTCGTCCAGTTGTGGATAATCCTTTCTCCAAATATTCATTTTTGTTTCCTTGGCCAGCGCTGTATTCAATCTTTCCAACTGACAGCTGGGCTGGATTCCCAGCCCGAGCCTTTGTGAGTGTTGCTCAGTTCTGCAGGCCCCTGTCATCTGCTCTCCCATCCCACCACCGATGGGCTGGAGTAGGTGAACAAGGAGCTATGTTTGATCTGGGCCATCTCCCTCGCCCGGGTTTGCCGAGTAGAAAACTTGCAGCTACTTGGCCATGCTGCTTCATCTCAGCTAGCCCTATCCAAATCAGATGAAAAAGGGTCTAGAGGCAAATGATAGAAACCCAAGAACTTTGTCTACCTTCTCCATTCTTGCTTTGTATCTGTTACCGGTTTGATTCCTAAGAGCCAAGTAAGATGCTACATAAGTCTAGAGGGGAGGGAAGTTGTATGCATGTCTAATGCTGGCCCTGAAGGCTTCTGTTGCTCACTGTTGCTACATATGGGCTCCTGGCATTTCCCAAAGCCTATTGCTTTTCATGCATATTTAAACAAAACCTGTTCTCACCCATAATGCAACAGAGTCAACAGTTCTGCCCTTTCCTCTCCTGTCTTGGAGAAGAGTAGTGACAGGGATGCTGTCCTACCTCCCCTCTCATACCATGTCACGGCTACACCTTAGCCTGGCAGAATTACTTGATTTATCAAGGGAAGGGGACTTGTTATTGCCAAGTTCAGCTTTGCCTTGTCCGTCTCCAGCAGCATGGACTCCCTTGTGCTCTGTCTGTCTTATCCCTTCTCATGGCAGCAGGAAGAGTTAGGGCAGACGTCCTTTTGTACTGTAGCAAGCCAGTAAGTTTGTTTCTGTCCAAACTGGTCAGCTCATTTGTGGAGGAGATCCCCCTCTTTTATGCATGGTGGTTCCACATCTGCAGCCCCCTCATGCAACCACCTCCAAACAGGTCAGCCTGATGTACCATGGGGCATTGCAGAGATGGGAGGGGGAGGGGGGCTGGGTGAAAGTTGCCAAACTGTTGTAATGTTTCTTGTCCAAAGTGACGTGTCTACTCGTGACCTTTTTTTGGAATGCCTTGAATGGACGTGCAAATGTGCGTTTGTGCCTCTCTCTTTGATTTCTAATCTTAGCCAAACTACAGTTCGCTGGTCCCTTCAGTGAGTCTGTGCCATCCCTAACCAGTGGTGTGTCCCTCCTAGTCTGATAAATGGAATTTCTTAGGAATTCACTGCATGTTTCTTCCTTAACTTCCCATCCTGGCTTTGTTCCTCGTAGCCTAGTATTTTGGCACCTGTGTCTTTTTGCTTCAGTGCTAGTTTGGGACTCGACTCAACCTTGGAATTCACAGGCGTTGGCAAGGCCAAGGTGGAAATTCCTGGTGTAGGTCAGTTTGCCCTGCAGGAATTGGATTCACTGACAACTGGTCAGTGTTGAGATGCCTCTGGTAGGGAGGTTTCCCCATCTCTTCCTCATGACTGCAGGGCACAGGATGGGGACCAGAGCTGCTGAGGGTCTGGATGACCTCTGTAGCGTGCAAGACATGTAGTAGATCAGAGATGTCCCCACCTGCTGTCCACTCCTCTTCAGTCTCTGTGCCCTCTCCCCAACACTTGCTAATGTACACCCCCTCCTGCATGCTCCTTACTTCTTTCTCCAGGAGGAGGGGTTGATCACCTGCTCTTGTTCAGTGTTGATAACAGATGGTGCCAAATGTCTTGGAACTTGCATTGCGTCAGTCATGGCTGTCAAAAGTAGTCTGGGTTGGCATCATGCTGAATAACCTGGCTTCCCTGCTCTCTCCACCCCCTTCCTGGTCTCAAACATGACAAGATGGTGTTAGCATGGTTAGACTGTATGCCTTGGCAGGGCCTAAACAACACTGTGATGTGTATATATCTCTCTTCTCTATCAGTATCCTGTAGCCCCAGCCATCACTAGTTTGTGCTTGCAGCTGAGAAATAAAGAGATAGCGCATGTATGTGGCTTAGCAGCAAGAAGAAGAAAAACACATCTAACACATTATCAGTACACCCCATCGGCCACCTTCCCCCCCCCAAAGGAGAAGGGACCTTGGGGAAATTAGTCAAGGAGTATCACAGGCTCAAGCCAACAAGAATGGCATTGCTGCCATTTCCCTTGCAGTCAATGCAAGGCCAACCTGCTTTGCACAGCATTAGGTTTGAACAGTAGGGAGACCTCTTATCCAGTATGGTTGAAGCTGGTCAAACAATACCTCGTTGCTTTTTTTTTTTTTTTGCATCACCAAAAACACCACACACAGCAAAGCCCTTGAGGAGTGCCTGACATCAGAACACCACTGAGAAACACCACCTCTCCACCTTCTGCATGCCAGAAGGAGCATCTGATCAAGCCAGAGGAATGAGGTAGTGGCAAAGAGCCAATGCCATTTCAGTGGAAGGGATAGTTCCACCCAACACATGAAGAAACAGATCATGAAAGTTCAATCTTAGTCTTCCCCTAACATCCCTGTTGAAGATCTTGGGAATATCTTTCTCCAAGGCAACTTATTTCAGGTATCAGTTCCACATCGGACTCGAGTTCCTTAGGGACAGTTGGGTAACGTTCTAATTTTTTCAAAGACTCTTGACTCCTCTAGGTATAAGGGCTGGTAATCCATTCAGAGTAGGACAGCCTTCCTACATAGCCTAGCTCTAAATTTCTTTTTACTGATTGCAACAGGTCACCTTTGGCCTTGGTCAGATCTGAAGGACTAGTTGGTCTCTACTGTTATCAGTTGCATCTCTCCATTGCTTGAGATAAAGGCAATGGACAGAAAGACAGGACCCATCTCCTCAAATGAAATCAAAACAAAAATCTGTCCTTGTAGCTGAGCAGGAAGGGTGAACAGGTGATAGGAGACATGCTGGATCTCCAGGGGAGTTGGCATCTCTTGAGAAGGTTCATTCTAAACCATGCGCCCTGGGAATGGATAGTGCGTTCCCACCCCTCAACAATTTCCCAGTGGCCTGAATTGTTCCACTACAGCGAGACTGGAATTAACCTCTCAAAGTGTCTTCGTTTCTGCACATTTTTAAATCGATCTTCTCAGGGGTGACCGAGTGGGCCAAGGGGAAGGGGGAGGGTTAGTGCAGGGGTAGCAAGGAGCTCCCTGGCCTCTGCAACTGTACCAGCAGCTCCTGACCCTCCGGTTTTGCCTGCAGACCCAGAGGTTTTGTACAGTTTGTCACGTGTCAGTGCCCTTTGCTACTGTTTCTCTTTGTTTATTAAATGTGTTTGAATAATGATTGAGATGCTGTGATTTACATTTTTTTTTTTCAATAAAGATGCTGAAATGGGATTGAAGTTTGAACTAATGGCCCAGGTCCTGCTGCTTTTTCTTTGCATCTAGAGATGCAGAAGGGTTTGTTGTCCTAATGCGCCGTTTGGTCTTTATATGAAGGAAAAGTGAGTCAGGAATGTGTCCTTGGTTAGTCAGCATTTCAAAAAAAAGATTTGTAAAGAGCAAGGGGAGTTACACTTGTCTCTTTACAGCGTATGTACCATGAAGACCTGAAACATGTGTTTGTGTTTCCTGCTGGTATCTGACTGTAGAAACTCAGATCTTTACCTAGGAAGATTGTAATGACAAAATGAGGAAAAGGTTGAGAGGGCAATGGATTTTTAAGTCATTTTTGGCCAACATCTCTATGCCTGTCTGTCTGACACACACTTGGAAGAAAGACTGTTTTGGTTAAAGGATTCAGCTGCCCCACCCATTCACTTCAGGTGTGAAAACTCGCTGAACATATGCAAAGGTTCACAAGCAGTTCTTTCGCACAACAAAAAAATATTAAAAAATCAGAAAAGACAGATTTAGAAAAATCAGTCTCTTGTATCAGGAAAAATAATCCAAATCCAATATACAAAGAGGGCTCTGATAAGTGACCTAACTAAGCACAAAAGACAAAATGGTACCTGGCTCCCCACCACCACCACCACAAAAATAATTGCTGATCTGGAAGTATCTATTTGGCTAGAAATTGCACTGCAGTTTAGAAGGACATGAAATCACTGTTACATTATCCCCCAGTCATAACTCCACCAGCCTTTTTCCTTATTTGTCTCTTTAGCCCGGTTGATAGATTAGCAGAGATTCAATTTATTTCTTGTTTATTGAAGATGAATATCCAGAAAGGCTTGAAACACAGAGGTACCAACAGATGGAAAAGCAGTGGGGAGGAAAGCAGCAAATTATACATGCATCCTTCCTGCTGGAAGGACTGAGAGCTGGAGACCCTTTGAATTGCAAACCAAAAAATACTGATTAGAAAAATAAAGCTTCCATTGGAATATGAGTCCATGCTGCCTTCTGCAACAACTGCAATTTGTCTTGGGCTCTCAGAGCACCAAAGTCATGCTCCTGGCTGGTACCATGTGGTGTAGGCAAGGGTTACATCAAGCCCTAGAACAGTTAAGTGATGTGCCAAAGGGCAGAGGGGGAGAAAAAAAATCAGTGGTGAAGCTGGGAAGACAATCCAGGAAAAAAATTAAAAGAAACCTTCTGATTTCTGTCTGTAACCACAAGACCATGCTCCCTGTTAGAGCACATGTAACCTGCCACCAGCTATTCCTGTAGCTGGCAAAAGCTTGGTCTCCACCAAGGGTATCACCTTACCAAGGTTTCAATTATCTAATAGTCTTACCAGGCTGGCACCTTAAACATCAAGCAGCAAGTCACAGCCCATTACACCAGGTTTGCCTTTATTAAGATCTTAAGTACAGAGAAGTACTAGCCATGTTAGTCTGAAGTCAGACAGAAAGCAGGGCAGGGTGGCACCTTAGACTAGCTGGGTCAGACAAGCACGGTGCTTTCATAGGCTAACTGCCACCACAGCCAGCTACGCTCTACTTGGGGATGGCACAGCCTCAAGACCTTCAGGCAGACCATGCTTCAGGAGCTACTAGGACACAACTCCAAAGCTCATCTCTGAACAACCGTCTGGATGGTGACCAAGCCCAGCTAGCCACAGCTTCACGTTCAAACCCAGCCAGGCCTTGTGTCCACATTCATCCACGTTCACAAGGAAGGTTTCCATCAGCAATAACTCAAACACACAACATACACTTATGCAATGCACCATGAGCCCCACATAGTCTGTGCCATAGGGTCATACTGCCAAAACAGCATCCAGGCTTAAAAACTGAGAACTCTGTTTAAGCAGTGCAGTTTCTCCACCAGCCAGGTTGACCGTCATGAGTTGTCACTAGGGGAGTTGCTGTGGATATCTTGGCTCGTCAGAAAAACCTTTTCATTGTTGTTGCCAATGACTTGCATTCCTTCACAGCGTAACAGTTCTCAGACCCCCAAGCAGTAGCATCCAACTCTATTTTTAAGTTGTTTCTGTACTTCCTGCTGCTGCTGACACATTACAGGATCTGTTGTAAGCTGCTGCTTACTACGGTGGGATTAAAAAAAAAAAAAAAGAATGCATGTGGAGAAAACAGACAACCCAGCTCTTACTGATTATAGACACAGATGGGGCCAGGCATCACATTGCAACAACAACAAAAAAAGCACAAAAAAAAAAGGGAAGCTTCATAAAGTTCAGGAGTGGATCTAGCGTGCTAGGGAAGGGGGATTGGGAGTGGGCTGCTGATCTGTCACCCAACCAGCCTCTTGTTATAGGTTCTTGGGCAAAAGAGATCCAGGCTGTAGGAAGTAAAAACTCATCAGAAAAGGGTAGCGCCCCATTTTTGGGCTGGACGCGAGTTGAGACAAGTGACGCAGTAGAGACGTGATGATTCACTGTGGTTACTTCCATCTGAGAACACGCCAGGGCAGGGCTCAGCCTCTCCAGCAAGTGCGAGCTACCGATGGCATCACAATGAGCACTCAGAGCAGCCAGAGTCTGGATTATGCCATCGCTTGGAAGACTCACAGCCCATGTAGGGCTGCTGGCAGGGAGGGTATCCTTGGGGGAGCTGCCAGCAGCCAGAGAGAACAAAACCAAAGTCTTTGGCTTAGTGTTGGAGCTGGCCACAGGCCGGGTGGGAAAGAGCAGAGTAACCCCTCTGTGCTGCCATTTAACAGCCTCTATTGGAAGATTGTGGCTGCCCTAAGGAGGCAAGAGTGACCTCATGTCTGAGCAGATCAGGTGAGCTTGGAGCATAGGGCCATGACATATCTTTCACGCAGGACTGTTCCCTGAACCAGAAGTTGTAGGCACACAAAATCCATCCAAATTATGCAGGTTTAATGTGCATAGGGTGGGAGGAGGTGACACATTTCAGCCTAATGCACTCTGAGACCGTCACCAATAATACCATAAGTCATCAAGTCGATCGGCGCTTGCCGTTAAAGACAGGGGCCTAAAATCAGCCCTAATGTAGGGCACGGAGATCAGTGGTTGCAATGGAAGAGGAGACAGTCTCTCCTTTAACTCAGTCTACCCTGTCCCAGTATATAGTTCTTCCCTTGAGTGTTTCATCCAGGGGAGTGCAGGTATCTTGGGGTGCTGGCAGACAGAGCTCCAGACCATCTGTAGGCTCTTTGGGCTTCTTAGGTCTTCCCAAGGGCAGACTGAAGAGAGGTGAGCTCTGTAGCTACTTAGCTGTTCTCAAGATAGTCACTCACCACCCCCACCTTGCATTTCTCTGACACCCACCCTTCCAGACGGGCTACTAAAATCTCCAAAACCGAGACAGAGAAGCTGGCTCCAAGTCAATGGTGCTGCCTGGGAGGCCTTGGGCTGCAACTCCTCATGCCTCTCCCTGCACATCTGGGTCTACTGTACCATCTCATGGCTGGTTACGGTGGCTTTCACCCCGTTCCAACACTCCAGATCAGGTTGTGCTCTTTACAACCCTCACAGCCCTGCTAAGCTAATGAGAAAGCAGAGGCTCGCATGGGAAGGCTGACCCACTGAAAGGCACTTCTCCAGCAGAAACATATTCACCTAAATAGTACACAGCAGAATGTCCCTGGATGGAGCTTGGCCTGGGGAGCTAGGAGTCCCCAGTTCTACTTCCAGCTCTTTCCACACCTGTTGGAAAGTCACCTTGGCTGCTCTGTGACTCCATTTCTCCATGTGAGAACTTGGGACAATACCACATATTCCTTACAGCAGTTGAGAAGCTTAATTCATAGAATCATAGAAGTCAGGTCGGAAGGGACCTTATAGATCTTCAAGTCCGACCCCCTGACAGGGTAGGAGAAAAACTGGGCTCAAATGACTCCAGCCAGGTAGGCATCAAGCCTCTTCTTAGAGACCCCCAGGGTAGGAGCCAGCACCACTTCCCTTGGAAGTTGGTTCCAGATCCTGGCTGCCCTGACCGTGAAGTAGTTCTTACTGATGTCTAACCTAAACCTCCTCTCCAACAACTTGTGGCTGTTATTCCTTGTTATGCCAGGAGGCGCTAGGGGAAACAAGGTCTCTCCCAAACCCTTCTGGTCCCCCCTAGTGAGTTTATAGATGGCCACCAGGTCCCCCCTCAGCCTTTGCTTGTGAAGGCAGAACAGGTTCAGGTCCCGCAGTTTCTCATTGTAGGATCTGCCCTGTTGTCCCCTGATCATGCGAGTGGCCTCCTCTGGACCCTCTCAATGTTGTCCACATCCCTTCTGAAGTGCGGCGCCCAGAACTGGACGCAGTACTCCAGCTGTGGCCTGACCAGTGTCACGAAGAGGGGGAGGATCACCTCCTTGGCCCTGC